TGGCCCGCTTCAGATCCTGGAAGGTACTCGAGTGACGAGACTCGTAAGATCTAGCTACTTTGCCGTCTGGGATGCGGCTGTCTGGAGAATTCGAGGGAGACGCGGCTCCAGCCGAGAGGTAGGGCGGATACCTCCACGAACTTCGCGAGCTCCTAGCCTATCACCCTCATGGACCCAGACAAACTCGCATAACACATCGAGGTCGGCAGTGATCTGTCCCGAGGATGGCTACTGTGATGCTTCTCCGATGATGTCACACGGTCTCGGCCACCGTCCTGCTTCTAATGGAACATCCAAACCCTCAGTAAGATCCTCCGTGAAGAACGCGGAAAAGCCTCGACGCTCGGTTCATATTGATATCAAAGTCTGGGTCGTCATCCTCGTCCAATGGCCTGCGTCGAACATTCGTCCTTTCGATTCTCGACAAAGTGCTCGAAACTATGCTGGTATCACAGCCGTCCAACCACATGGGAAGAAAGAACCTGTCCCCCGACAACGAATACGGCTATCGCAAATTTGAGGAAGGGCTCGCGGTTTGTATGATAGATTCATCGAGAGCATCAGTCACGGGATTGACAAAGCAAAGTCTGTGTAGCTCTGCGGAGGGAAGCTCCTTATGTGAAATGGCAGGATCCGGTGCTGCCGCAATATTTGACGATGCCTACATACATTTCGATCTGAATTACTGTACTGGCCTCTTGTAAAGTGCAGTGCTAAGACGTTTTAGACGGACCGCGAAGACTCCGGAAAAGAGCAAGTCGTGACACGCAGTCTATGGGTCCTCACGAGGAGGAACCCAGAGAGCTGGACATTTTCCCGCTGACTCGGACTCTCTCCTACTTGGAGAGCACTTTTCTATTCCATCGAAAGCTTTCTGATCGAGGCCCGGGAGTTTCGGGCATACATTCCCTCAGAGCGAATCGCGATATCAGAACGAGAGATATTCCCACAGTTCGGGCATAACTCGCGCAATCCTTAATTGGTTTACACTCATAAATGCTACTTCGGGGCGACGGACCCCTGGAAATTCATTTCGGTGGGAACTAGAAGTATATTATACTCGGAGACATCGTTCTCCGAGAGGAGACTGAGGAAACACACGGCAGACTCCAATAACTAGGGACTGATATTCCTCCTTTCAGAAATCGGTCCACATTCACTGACGGAGGACTTCTTCTCTGAATTCGACATGGGCCTATCCTGATTATCATTGATTCCTCAATTCGTTGCCGCCCAAGTTCGCGCTTTCGAAATAATTTCCCGAGCCCAGTCCGGGATTTTGAAAATTCTCCCGGACCCGAACACCAAAGCTTCCACCGTGAGGCCTCAGGTAACATGTTTTCGAGGGAAAGTCCTCCGTACTGCTGTCACAAAGCTGCGTTTTGGTGGGTTTCGAATTTCGGAGCATTTTCTATGATTGCGGATGGGAGCAATTGAAAGGCTCTGCTCTCGGACGAATCTTCTACCGACTGACCGACTGTTGAGGAGCATAATGGTCACGAGCACGACACGCGCCCGATGCTCCAATACGATTTCTCTCTTTCAACTTCTCGAGTTACTGAGATACAAAAGGAAGAACAAACATTACCATCCACCTCCCCATCGACGCATCTGCTAGCTTCTAGCCCGACCAGGATGATTGATGTATATGCAGGAGCCCTCTGAATTTATTCTCCCGCCAACTAGCTCCCCGCTTATAATCTTAATGCAGGATCGATGAATTCGGGGAACGCGCGAGCACAACCGATGAGCAAGAGCCTCAATGGACGTTCGCTAAAGCTTCCCGCTTCTATAAGATATATTCCGTTATCGTCGGTCCGTTTATATTGTTCCGGCTGCGCAAGGGGTCTTATGGTGGTCTTATTTATTCGGATTTGGATATTATTCAGATTAGTCTGATCCAGAAGTCAAATCGTTGCTCAAGATAAAGATGATGAGGAAGAGAAGTCGGTCACACGTGACGGCTCCAGTGGTTAGATTTCTGGTCTGACATGAAGCCTCCTCCCTCCGTTGTCGTCCAGCTGACGTCCGAAATACTGATCCTACGACGACGGGAATAGCAAAAATTCGAGCATTCGACATCTGTGGAGAGACATGTACTCACCGACGGGAATTTCCCCGGACCCGTATTGGGGCGGTCTTCATCCTGGATCTCAGAAGGGAGATATAATCAAATATAATCCCAAACACGAATGGAAGGTATGCAGATGACTAGCGATGTCTTCTCTCGTTCAACCTTCCGAATAGGTCCGATTGGAGCTCCGAATTGAGGCTTCGCGTGCGTTTCCCCCGGATAACTTCACGCAGCTTGTTCTGAGCCCGCTCGCACTGCACAATCGAGACTCCGCTGCAGACCATCTCTGAGGCACGGAGGTGACCGGGTACTACGATAATTTCACCTCGGCTCGAGATCGTATAAGCGGAGCGCTAACGATAGGAGCTCGAGGACCCCCCCCCCTCCCCATCATGGGAGTATGGGCTCTTCCAACCCATCCGCTCAGCTCTGCATGAATTCGGCGACAGACCTACGCCGCCTTCGAACGCGCCGCACGAAGGACTTGCAAGTAGTTCTAGAAACTGGGATGCATCCCGAACCGTTTCCATCGGAGCATCTATCGGAAGCTTATTCTTCACGCTAGGCTTCCTCCAGCCCTCGCCTGGCTTCCGATGGTGAGGAAAGGATACTTTCTGTTCCTCATTTCACCACCGATGCTCACTCCGAATTCGGCGCTTTCGTTCTGAACGAAGTTTGCTCGAGCCTTCCCTCTGATAGTTCTCGGAGCAGATCCCGCAGAATGAGCTACGGTTTCATCGCAAAGTTGGTGAGTACGACTTGATTTCGCCAGGCGGAGAATCGGTGGCGGTACGAGTATTAGTGGAAAATCTATAGATTCGGGGAAATGTGCAGCTCAGAGTGATCGCGTGACCAATTCTTACCGAAACCATGTCAATGCTCTCGTAGGTCTGCTGCTTTTTAGTGTTGAGTGATTTGGACATTCTGCTCGCCGCAGATATTGCCAAGGAATCGTCGAAATATCTGAGATATCTCAAAAGTCCGACATTTGTGAGTCGCTCATCGAGCTCTAAAACTCCACGGTACTTGCAAAGCTCATCGAAGTTTCAAGATGATTCCTTCCCGATTCCGAACTCTCCTTACATCACTCCGAGACTAGGAATCACCAACGGCGGCTCCATGACTCGTTACGCCGGATCTATGATGACATCCGCATCCGAGAGGAGCCCGTCACGAATTATCATAGTACGTCAGCCTTATTCGTCTAAGAGGTCGCATTCCCCGTCAGCAAGTCCATACGGTTCGCAGTACATGCCGCAAGCAAGCTCTGGTGAGTGTCTTGATAGCTGAATCTTGAAATACGAAAAACCTAGATACGAACTTGAAATCGCTCCCCCCCACGGAGCGTTCCTTGTGTGATCACTAGGGCTGTACTTTCGTCGCGGCCTTTCAGCGCGGAACTCACCGCTTTTTCCAGCCCGCAATTCACGACATTCTTGAGCTCCTATAAGTACTCTTGATGAGGATGTGCTGCGGAAAATCACGGCTCCCGCGGCCGACCGCGACGACAGACCGGCCCTAGTAGTCACTAATCACATACTATACATAGAACGAGACTACATTTCGCGCAGAATATTGCCCTCGCTCCGTCGGCATCGTCTGTGAAGATTTCCATCCTTATCACTGGTGATTAAATCGAGTACCGCCGAATTTCTTCCAGTGGCTCCCTCCATCGCCTATCCATACGCTTCTCCTTATGGCTACGCTGCTCATCAATATATGCCAGGCTATAACTATCAAGCTCCGATGAGTGGGAATCCTTTTGCAGCTCAGCTGTCAGCATACACTCCATTAGTTGCGTCGATGATCGCCGCAGCGCAACGCGTCACACAGAATCAACACAGCGCATACGGAAATCAATATGCTGGCAGCCAAGTTACACCGCAGTACTACCCACCCTACGGAATGCCTCCGATGCAGTCACAATTATACGGAGGTTTTGGTTACCAAGGTTAAGACTCCGCGACACCGACGAGAATGTAGATTTCGATCATCGAAGGGTGTCATCGTCATACCATCCATTGGAGACGTCGAGTTATGTTTCATAATACGGTTCATAATCAGGGCAGAGGGAATTTTCGTCCGCTACATGCTTGCGATGGAGACATGCCGTAAGCTCTGAGTTTCGATGATCGGGGATGTCCTCAGCTCCCACCGTCGAATACACCCCATTGTTTCAAGGCTGTATGGCCGAATGGATGAAATGTCGATAAATGATCTCCTGCGATCAACCTCTTCTCAATTTGACGGGTACTCATGGCATAATCGCCGCTTCGAATCAACAATTCGAATATTGCATGCAACAGCAAGAATGATCAGCGCAATCTCTGATTCTCCACCAGATAGGCATGAACAGATTTCGTCGCAGTTTACTTGGCCCTAATCCTGTGTACATCATATGGGTGCGCTGGAGAGGAGCCTCCACAGGCATCTCTGCAGAAGCGCGCCAAGTGCATCGGAGCTTCACGGGGGCGCTACGTGCGTTCCCATAGAGTTCAGGTTCCGCTTGCGACGTAGAGCTCGCGAGAGTTGAATCGGCGCACTTCCTACGCGGCGGTGATGCGATCGACGCGCTGTACGCTGATTCTGGATCAGGAAATGGAATAATCATATTCTCGTCCTGGGCGGGAAGAAGTTTCATACGAGCCTCGCAGCCTCGCATCGCGAGCTCCGATCTCGTTCGAAAATTCTCCGTGGTTTGTGATTCGTGGCACATTGCTACCGGCCTCATGCGGATCGCTAGGAAGTTTCGTCCTTGTATGTATATACATTCTGCTGGCATGTCACGATGGACAGGCTGTATATTCCCTCGACTTATCATTCACATTTACTCATCTAGAATCTCGTCCGCCAGCTCGATCGCCTTACGCGTGTGCTAGGTTGCCAGCAATCGTTATTCTTACTACAGTGAAGAACGCCATTTTTGACTCGTAATTTATTGTATTAGGCAAGTTTCTTGCTGATATTCAGATATCCGGTGCCGATGCACGATAACTGGAGCTTCTCCCCGCCGGTTCGCAAGACATCCTCCTCGCTCTCGGCTCTTTTGTCGATAGCGATCTTGAATGTTAAACCGAAGAAGTCTTTAAGATGTCTTAAGAACTGAATCGTGAACGGTGTTAGCGTACCGAACTGATATTTCGATACATCCGCGGGACCGAGCGCCATGAGCAACAGGGCAAGACTCTGATTTGCCGTATCGACACATCCACCTCGATATATTTCCCGAACTAAATTCACAGCCGCGGTTTTCCCTATTACTTCTGGCACCATCTCCTCCCGACCTTTGCTCGGTTCCGACATGGCGTCAGCGGCGTAAAATGCCCCTCCCCTCGTTTCTGCGACGAGACAGATTCCGAAAGCAGGCGATGAGCCGCCCCTCTTGCCTTTACATGCGTCGGTATATATATAAACATCGGGGAGGAACTTCAACAATAATTGTTTCGCGGAATCCACCATGCGAGATGTCACTTGCGGATTGGTTTTCATACAATAAGCCCATCCGCGGACTCGCTTTATCTTCCCAGCATCGGTGAACTGAGTCGCTCTCAGTCGTCTACACACTGGTGCTGTGAAACGAACCTCGCCTCCGCCCAATGGCGGGGCTCCTCTAGATATAATTTTGAGATCCAAGTTCTCTGTGTACATGAACTTCCCTAGCACCGGTAAACTGGTCTGTTTGAAAGCGTCCACCGATTGCTCTTCGCAATCGTTCGTGATGCCAAACAAGCGTACATCGAGTGGATGTTTACAGAATGGGGCCAAGTATATGAGGCCTTCCAAGTAATAGGAGACCGACTTCGAGGCTACACAGCGATGCTCAATGCTGCCGCCATGTAGAATCCCAGGTTTGAAGAAGACACGTGTGCCGGTCTCGTTGACGCTCGCTTGCGTTCCTGCGAAATTAAGGTGTAGTAGTAATCAATGTGGAGCGACGTCTTTCCGACGAGAGGGAGACCGATATCGACCAAAAGAATTCCGGTTCGCCTTCATTGAACAACTTCATTCATCACGGACAGGGAAGCCCAGAAGCTTACCATTGGTAATCTCCGTGATCAATTTGAGGAAGTCAGCCTCGAAGTCCCGCAGACCTGGGTCCACATCTTGGTTGCGGATGCCGCTCACTACGATTGATCGCTGGCTCAGGACAGCAAGAACCAGACGTTGCCGGAAATAATTGGATCCTTGGTAAGACAGCACGTTCCCATCGATCGACGGACTCATCCCGCCGGCACCGTGTATGAGCGATCCACGCGATACAGTCGCCCAACAAAATAAACATTCCCATGCGAATGAAACTATCACGTGCCTCCGTCGTTTTGTTAAAACACGGAATTCGCTCCGCCTCTCCATCGACAGCGCCAGCCAACCATCGTGCACTATGGAAGCTTGAATCAAAATAGAGTACGGTTGCGATTCTCTCAGGAAGCGGTGCGAAGAGCAACCCGATCATCCAGGGAGCCGGCTCCAATGTTTCTGAAAGACGATCGATTCAATTCTCTTAACTTCGGTGATTCGATAGATCCCCAGCTTACTCACGCTTTAGACTGAGGCTCGATCCATGCATTTGTCCCGCGATTGAATGGCCACTGCGACGCCGGTATCCCCTTCAGAGTCCAGACGGAGCCTGCCATAGATGGAGGCTCGAAACTTTTTGCGTTATCGCAAGAGAGCACACAGCTGACCGGTATAAACGTTCACAAGAGAAGCCGCGGAGACTGACTATTTACGTTGCTTCTTTATCCGCAGTTTTAGATCGAATATTATCCCAACTTGCCGGCCAGTCTGATGCTGACATTGCGGAGTTTTTTCAATGGGGCAAAGATCGTTGACAGAAAGCATATGCCACCCCGACTGAGGAATTCGAAAGCGGACGTTCCCTTGACAGCATAGATCAGGACAACACGATTCTGCCAAGCAGTCCTCAACGTGTGTCTCGGATTGACCGTCAACCTTACACGGACAGAATCGATCGGCCCTGCTCCGTCTAAGGTTGTCTGTAATTTCGTCTGGCGAGTCTGAGAGATTCCTCAACTTCGATATCATCGTCGAGGCTGGGAGGCACTACTATCATACTCAAGGCTTACAAAATGAGCATAGGTGGTTGCGCTTGGGACAGCTCCTCTTCTGCCTCGACTACGGTCAAAGGGACCAACGTCCGACCACAGAATGAGCCCAAGTTCTTCTTGATTCTCATATGACTGATAATTCTGTCAGCAAAGCCTGATGTCGACTTGGGCTTTGGAAACGGGGATCCCAGTTCGGATGTGCACCAAACGTGGGATGATGTCACACATGCCCCTGAAAATTGTACATCTGGGTCCGGATAAAGGGAGCGGGGGAACGGGCACAATTATTCCTCGCACAATCCTTCCTTCGAGTTGAGCTCCTATACAGAGAAGCGGACTCGCTCGTAAGGATCTATCGTGGCGCTAGTTGTCAGGCATTGAACGAAGGGATGTCCCCCATAGGAATCGAGCAGGATTTCGAACTTTATCTATGGTGAGAATTCGAATCCGTGAACAATTAGCAAACTTTTAGCATCATGCAGAGAGACTGCGGGAAGTCACAATCCAGTTTTCCAAGCATCCGCAGGCCTTCCGGAAGAGTGTAAGGGTGTGCGGAACGACGTATGACTCGGAGATATAGCGGGTACGGGGACGGATTCTAGCTCTCGAGATGACTGCAGGCAAGGATAATTTGCTCCCGCCGATGTACCTGAGTAATTCGCCACTCGTCTAGAATAACCGCCTAGAGTTTTCACTTAGCCAGACATTCGCTCAGCTCCTTGATGAAGAGACGAGCTGGTTCCGAGGGAAGGCCAGGCAGGTCATCTGTGCAAGCAAGATGGAGAGCGGACGTGATCGGGCGCCGAACCGCGACATCGTCGTAGAGCCCCTTTGTCTTCCTCCCCAACGGGCTCCAAGACCGACCCCTACTCTCTTCTCGACCCGAGCATCGGACTCAAAGTCGGTGGATACGAAGGGTCCTGAAGAATTAGGAAGCCCTGGCCTGAAGCTTCGAATTCCCAGTCTGTCACCCTCCGAGATTTCGGGGGTGCGGCCTCCTGCTCAGAAGTTCCGTCCTCGTATCCGTGCACAGATATAGGAATCCATAAAAAAATTCTCGCGGGGATCTTGGGGCGCGGTGGTTGAGGAGGGGAGAGCGCTATGTTGCGCCATCCTTCGCAAGGTACCGGCGCGGCGCCGGAAATCATACTCACACGCATCGCGGCTTGTCAAACGTCAAACGAGTCTCACTCTGGGAGGCTTGAACGAGTTTTCTGTGGGGGCGATGGGAACATTCATGCCTGTAAGAGGGCCCCCGATTCCTGTTCTCCAATCGAACTTGCTCTGTGGATATCTCGATCTCCGAGTGGGACGTCCGAGTCATCTTCCTGTGAAAACTGCTCATTGACGATTCTCGCCCCTTAGTCGAAATGGGAGGATGAGATCCGTGAGGGTCTCGAGAGCCGGGAGTGAGGAGTCTCGCGGCCTCGAGCCCTCATCTTTCCCGGAAAATTAGGCTCGTGGCGCGTTCATGAGGCCTTACTGTATTGGCCCGAAGAACTATTGAATCCCCTCGAGATTCGGGCGCGTCCGATCCGATAACATTCTTCATGGACTACGGTTGTCCGAATGATTAAATGAGCTGTCACGATCAAATGAGGAGCCATGCTCAGGCATAGAAAAGCTTTTTCCGATATTCTAGGTCGCAGCTCCGAAATGTGGGTACTCTCATGTCTAGAATAGTGTGAGGCTGACTATTCCAACAAACCCAGTTGAAGGATTTCACGACAACGTGGCTCTGAACACGGAGGTGGACTCCTCCGGAAATCGGACGCCATTAATGTGATAACGTGATAACTTCAATGCATGGGGATCATCCCTGTCGGCAATTTTCTCGATTGTCCAGGTTAGAGGGGGAAATATGCGCAATCGATCGCGGGTTCCGGAATTACACGTCCGATCATGTGCCCAAGCACTCGAGGGATGTTCCGGTGGACAGAAGTTGTGGCCGGCCGTGCATCCCTCTGTCTCGTGGCAGGGGACATGCTCATCATTCCTAAATTGTGTCTCCCGAGGGCTCGAGGTCATTTTTATGGTCTCCGCAGTTCACGATGAATAATATTTCGCTATTCAGAACATACGGGCTATACGTAGAAACAAAGAGGGTGAGCCAGGGTCGCCCGAACGAGCAGAGACAGGGAGAAAGGAGATTCCATGAAACGGAACCGTCCGAGACTGAACATTTCCGCAGAATTTTTCTTTGTCATCTTTGATGAGTTTGATACGAATCCGCAATTGACCAGATGATCAAGATTCAGGCACTCTTCTCGTGTACAATGGGACAAGAGATGGAGGAATGATCGGCTGCCAGCATGATATCATGCCGGCTTCTCCGCCTCTCTGTGAACGGGCGAAGCCGCCACCTGGAGAGATCCCTGGCTGACGGAAGACGGAAGAAGGAACGGACGAATAGCTTGCCTCGCGAACGTGTCCACAGTATCGGATCAATCTCAGTTCAGCCCTTTGCCGAGGGACACTTCAGTTGAGAGCATTCTTCTGTCGAATTGCGATGTTCTGAAAAACTCTGTCGTAAATCTCTATCAGGGAAGTAAGATTCCATTCATTTCCTCCTCGTTTTGAAAGTGGCAGAGGCACAAGAGCGGGAAGTAAAAACAACAATGGCAAGGTCGAGACTCCCGACGAAGCACCGCCAGAGGTCAGTTGATGCAGTCGACGAGCGGCGGTCGCCGCTCCCGTTTTCTGAGCCTCACAGACCGTGCCTCCGTCGCGTCGCTGCCGTGGTCGTTGCTCTTGGATGCTGTCGCAGCTATTTGATGAGTTCGACGAGTATAAGTAGCAACACAGCGGAGGCAGAAACACTGCACGGGGAAAGGAACCTGGGAGAGACCAGACCCCCATATCCTCACAGCAGTCGCCCACACGGAGCTGCGGCGATCAATTACAGCTGGACGCCAGAAGGCGAGCACCTGCTGAATCGGCAGATTCGGAGAAAACGATCATCAGTCTCGTCATTAAGATTCCGCGCCATTGCCTCCTCTGACGTCGCGTCGTCGCGAGCGAAGCACCCTTGTCAACGCTTTGACAAAACAATGCACCTGGGGACATGTTGCGGAAGAAATTCCGAAGCACAGAGCAAGAGGGTTCGCGGCGAATCGCATGTCGGAACTCCAGACGCAGACCTTTCGTTCGTCGGGCAAATGATCACTGGGTTTCTTGCCCCCGGGGTCATTGTCTCGAATCAGCGTTTCGTTCCCTCGGGGGAAGCCAGAGTGAGTCACATTATGTAACGCTATGATTGAACGAACGCTCACCAACTCGCCCAATGCTCGTAGATACATGTGCGTGTAGCAGCGACGTACGTCCACTCGAAGAGGTAAATGAAATCAAAGTGCGTCAAATACATTCTGACCCGCTTCACATCGCAAGGTAAATGATGCATCAATGTACAGCTTGGGCCAGGTATCCAATCGTACCAATGAAGATCAAAGGCGGAACAGCGTCACGGGAGTGGGAGAGAGTTCAAGTCTCTTCTCTCGAGGAGGAGCTGGAAATCCGCTCACGAAGTACGGCACTCCGCCCCGAAGGAGAGCCGTCGGGTTTCTCCAACCCGCAAACAATAATCACGAGCACGGTCCAACGACGGAAGGCATGTCTGGAAGGAGGATACCCCAATGGATTCAGCCCGGAGGAGAACGAGCGACGAATAAGGAATACAAGGCTAGATAGAAACTGGAATGGACGCTTCCGAGCTATTTCATCTTTTTCTTGGCCATTTCTTGAAGAAGACAGAGAGAGCCTTCTTTGTTTCCCATTTTCGAGGATCAAATGCTCGTTTAGTGGGACTCGCTGCTGGCGGCTCCACTGCGTCCACCGCTGCCGAGATCGTCGATCGAAGGAAAGGGGGTGGAACGCTGCCTGGGAGCAGCCTTTCGGGCCGGTTGTCGTCGATAGCTTACAAGCGGGAATGAAGAAACGGTCAGGAGAGGGATGGTTGGGTTCTCCGGCAGGCCTCTTTACTCGGTCGCTTTGGATTCTTTGAGAGTCCGCCGCCACCTCACTTGCCATGTCGTCTTCATACAATTGGCAGTCACCCGGGGAAGACAAGTGGGCCCGAGTTGTTGCCAGCGCAGTGCCGAGAGACAAGATGGCGGAGAGCAGCCGTTAGGGCTGTTTGACGAGCAGTGAAGAAAACAGACAAACGAGTGCGTCAAGGGATTGTCGGAGGCTATTTG